ATTCCTAACTCAGAGGGTTATTATAATAGTTAAATAAGATAATGCATCTTAAGCACTAAATTGAAATCTTGACATACAGAAGAGAATTTTTAAAACCTACTAACACTCTTTCCTAAAATTTCTTCCTCCTCCTCCTTTGGACCTTCCTAGATGTTAAATGCAGTAGTTCCAGGGCACACAGTGAGAGCTCTGGACACGCATCCTCCTTCATACTGCTCACTCAGTGATTGAGAAATCCTGTGAAAATGACAGTGGCTATAGGTTTTCCTAAGCTTCCACAGCCTATGATTTGTCAGGTTCTGTTAGTTCTTCCTCTACCTGCAACATCTTAAACGATTCTTGCCTCTCTTCACATAACGGAAAACCTTTGGGTATAGGAGCATGGAGAAATAGTCCCCCAGAGCTTTGACACCGGAGATTTCACACAAGAGACAATCCATTTCCATGTACTTCTTCCACAGGACATGTCAAACTTTTCCTGAACTGTTGCAATGGCTCCCTGGCCAGCCTTTTTTTTTTTTTTTTTGAGACAGAATCTCACTATGTGGCCCTTGGTAGAGTGCCGTGGCATCACAGCTCACAACAACCTCAAACTCTTAGGCTTAAGCGATTCTCTTGCCTTAGCCTCCCAAGTAGCTGGGACTACAGGTACCCACCACAATTCCTGGCTATTTGTTGTTGTTGTTGTCATTATTGTTTAGCAGATCCAGGCCAGGTTGGAACCCACTAGTCCCGGTGCATGTGGCTGGTGCCCTAACCACTGAGATACAGGTGCTGAGCCTGGACACCCTTTTTTTCCCCTTACACTCTCCCCACTTGATTTCCCTGAAGTTTATCCTACACAGTATGTCAGTATGAGCAAAATCTCTCTCATGTACCTTCAGGGGCTTCCCATTGCCCAGTAAATTAACTGCCAACACCTCACCCTACATTTTTACATTTTCTATCTCAAATTATAGTTATTGTGTACTTGTTCTATGGTCCTGGATAGATAGTAAACTACTTCAGACTATTCATTCACTCAACAAATGTTTATTGAGCACTTCTTCCATGCTGGGCATTGATCCAGTTGCTGGGGATACATCAGAAAACCAAACAAAATTCCCTGCCCCTGTGAAGCTTATGTTCTACCTACGGAGATGGAGGGAGAAAGGCAATAAACTATAAAAATTAGAATAAATAATAAGCAAATTACGTGGCATGTTAGAAAATGAAACATGCTTGAGTTTTAATTACCTTGGAATTCACTTATGTACCTGCATATAAAAGTACTCAAAGTTGGCTCTCGGGCTGTAGCTCAAGTGGCTAAGGCGCCAGCCACATACACCAGAGCTGGCGGGTTTGAATTCAGCCCAGGCCTGCCAAACAACAATGACAACTACAACCAAAAAAATAGCCAGGCTTTGTGGTGGACACCTGTAGTCCCAGCTACTTGGGAGGCTGAGGCAAGAGAATCACTTAAGCCCGGGAGTTGGAGGTTGCTATGCACTATGATGCCAGGGCACTCTATCCAGGGTGACAGCTAGAGGCTCTGTCTCAAAAAAAAAAAAAAAGTACTCAAAGTAATTTTTAAAACTTGTGTTCAAGACCGTGACTATTGCTTAGTGGGTAGGGCGCCACATACACCGAGGTTGGCAGCTTCAAATTCGGCCTGAGCCAGCTAAAGCAACAATGACAACTGCAATAGAAAAATAGCCAGGCAGGAGGCTGAGGCAAGAGAATCACTTAAGCCCAAGAGTTTGAGGTTGTTGTGAGCTGTGATGCCACAGCACTCTACGCAGGGCAAAAGCTTGAGACTGTGTCTCAAAACAACAACAAAAAAAACTTGTGTCCAACTCAGTTTAGATAGGACAAAATACTGAGATTTTGGACAGGGAGGCTTGATGTTGCTGGTGAGCTCAGGACAGGAGGGCACAGGTCTTGAACCCCGAGTATGAAGTAAGATGGAGCAGGTACTAACCACCAGGCCTCTCCCAGAGCAGCTGGAGAAAAGTGTCAAGCTCAGGGCGCCAATCTCCACCCAGGTGGAGAAAAGCCTGGACTTCATAGCTATCCCTGAGAAACCTGGGTCAGTTCTCTGATTTGGCCACCAGGGGTCATTTTACCCTTGTAAATCACCATCTGCAGCGCTCACGTGCAGGCATACACAAAAGGCTTCCTCAGAACTAAAACACATGGGAAGACCTTGACACTTAATCTCATTCATTCTCTCTCTCTCTCCCCCTCCTCAGAAAATCATACAGTATCAAGAAATATAGGAAGAGAAATGCTACAGGACTCACGCATAGCAACTCCCTCATTAACGTCAGGGTTTGAAGTTTTCATAGTGCAAAAAAATTAGCCAGGTGTGGTGGCCTGTGCTTATAGTACCAGTTACTTGGGAGGCTAAGGCAAGAGGATAACTTGAGCCCAGAAGTTTGAGGCTGCTGTGAGCTATGGTCACATCACTGCCCTCCTCATGCCTGACAACAAATGAGACTCTGTCTCCAACAAAACAGACGGAAAGGGAATAGCAGATGGGCCCATTTCCCTTGCCTCTAGCTTGTTAATAATGAACAGCCCACCCTAGTCTTCCCTTCTCACTCTTACTTCCTTGTAATACTTCCTTGTAATTCTCCTCCTCTAGATGTAGCACAATTCCCTTTTCCCTTCCCAAAGATCCCTGTCCCTCTGCAAGTGTTCGTGTGACTCTCCCCACCAACATTGCTCTGGTATACCCAGGCTTATGTTCAATTAGGTGTACTACTCTTACCCACCCCCAGAAAACCGCACACTGTGAGGACTACCAGTATCAATTCATTGTTGAACATAGGCCCTACCCTAGTAATTAAAAAAAAAAAAGGTTACAATGCCCTGGGAAGAAGTTAGATATGAACTCTAATAATGTAGCACAAGTATGGTTCTGAAAGTGTGATACAGGGATCTACTCTTTGAGGAAGCCTATGAGGTCAAAACTATTTTCATAATACTACTAAGATGTTATTTGCCCTTTTCTTTTTCTTTCTTTCTTTCTTTTTTTTTTTTTT